CTTTCTATCCACCTTCTAGTCCATTCATCCAGCCCATACTTCTTTAACTTGGCGGCAAGAATACTGTGGGAGACCGTATCAAAAGCTTTGCTAAAATCAAGGAATAACACATCCACTGCTTTCCCCTCATCCACAGAGCCAGTTATCTCCTCAGAGAAGGCAATTAGGTTAGTCAGGCATGACTTGCCCTTGGTGAATCCATGCTGACTGTTCCTGATCACTTTCCTCTCCTCTAAGTGCCTCAGAATTGATTCCTTCTGGATCTGTTCCACGATTTTCCTAGGGACTGAGGTGAGGCTGACTGGCCTGTAGTTCCCCGGATCCTCCTCCTTCCCTTTTTTAAAGATGGGCACTACATTAGCCTTCTTCTAGTCATCCGGGACCTCCCCCGATCGCCATGAGTTTTCAAAGATAATGGCCAATGGCTCTGCAATCACATCCGCCAACTCCTTTAGCACCCTCGGATGCAGTGCATCCGGCCCTATGGACTTGTGCTCATCCAGTTTTTCTAAATAGTCCCGAACCACTTCTTTCTCCACGGAGGGCTGGTCACCTCCTCCCCATGCTGTACTGCCCAGTGCAGCAGTCTGGGAGCTGACCTTGTTCGTGAAGACAGAGCAAAAAAATCATTGAGTACATTAGCTTTTTCCACATTCTCGGTCACTAGGTTGCCTCCCTCATTCAGTAAGGGGCCCACACTTTTCTTGACTTTCTTCTTGTTGCTAACATACCTGAAGAAACCCTTCTTGTTACTCTTAACATCTCTTGCTAGCTGCAACTCCAAGTGTGATTTGGCCTTCCTGATTTCACTCCTGCATGCCTGAGCAATATTTTTATACTCCTCCCTGGTCATTTGTCCAATCTTCCACTTCTTGTAAGCTTCTTTTTTGCGTTTAAGGTCAGCAAGGGTTTCACTGTGAAGCCAAGCTGGTCGCCTGCCATATTTACTGTTCTTTCTTTTTCCAGGGGCACTGTGGGGCAGGGAGCAGGGCGGGAGGCTCAGCAGGGGGCGCTGGCCCCACGGCAGTACTGGGGGGCCCGTGGGCTCAGCTCTCTCCTCTCACTCCTAGCAGGTGCACATGGTGGAGGAGAGCGAGTCCCTGCCGGGCCCGTCCCACCGGTGCCTCGTGGTGCAGGGGCCGCAGGAGGCCCGGGGGCGGCTGGACCAGCGGCTGGCCGAGGTGGAGGCTCAGCAGAAGACCTTGCAGAACATCGTGACGGTGCTGAGCCGGGAGATGGGCAGGCGCGAGGGGGCCAGAGGCTCGGCCAACAGGGGCTCGTCCAACGTCCTGGGGGAAGCCATGGCCCGCATCCTGTACCTGGAGGAGAAGGTCAGCGCTTGCCCCACAGCTGCGGGGAGGGGGGTCAGAGCCCCACTTGCCAGCTCACTGTTGACCTCTCCCATTTGGCCCCTGCTCCCAGAGTTGACCTATGACCCTGGCTTGGACCAAGGATTTGACGTTCGAGTCATGATCCCTGAGATTCAGTCTCCGGCCCCATGGTTTAGCCATGAACTTTCAGGGTTGACCTATGACCCCACTGCTCTCGACTTTGACCTCTGACCCCTCACCTTGGTCCCATGGTTGCCCCAAGAGTTTTCAGAGTTGATCTGTGACTTCATGGTGACCTGTGAGTTCTCACCTTTGACCCCTTGCCTTGGACCCGTGGTTGGCCCACGTGCTCTCAACTTTGACCTCTGACCCCTACCATTCGATCCAGGGTCCAAAAGTAGACCAAAGACCTTTCAGAGTTGCCCTACAACGTCCCCTATTGGCTACCACCTTTCACCTGCTCCCCCATAGTTCAGTTTGGGCCCATGAAGCCTGAACCTTGACCCTTGACCTTAGGACAATGTGGCTATCTCCTCCCTTGTGGTATATTGCCCCCCGCCCATGAGCATCCCAGCCACCGACTTGACCCCAGACCTCAACTCTCGCAAACTTCTCCGTCCCCTTCCTTCCAGGTGGCCAAGCAGGACACGCTCCTGGCCCTCAAGGACGTGATGATCAGCAACCTAGGGGCCCGGGTCGAGGCCCTCGAGCACACCTCCTACAACGGGCAATTTCTCTGGAGGCTCCCTGACGTGAGGCGAAAGATGCAGCAAGCCCTGTCCAAACAGACACCTGCCATCTACTCTGCCCGTGAGTGCCATTGCCGGGGAGCAGAAGGAAATCCCCCAGCATGCACCACACCTTGGCCACAGCAATATCATGTGGCAGAGAGTTCCCCAGCCCAACAGCATGTGTGGGTCAGTGCAAGAGATAGTAAATCCCACAATGCACTTCAACAGGGATGCATCACCCTGGAGGATATCCTGTCTGTGCTAATATCCAGCAGCAGGGAGTTCCACAGGTTCACGCCAGCCTACAGCAAGGAAAACAGCGGTGGATGTTCAGAAATCCTCCGCAATGCTCTCCACGGAGGCAACATGCCTTCTGGGAATATTTTAGATACATAAAGATCCAATAGCAGACAGTCCTGCAGGCAAAACACCAAGACCAGATGGCGATGTTGAGGTCAGTGACCCTATAATGCCCTTCACCAGACAGCAAAGCCCCACAACTGGAATGTCCTCAGCACAATGATTTCCTGTTGTGGGGAGTTCCAGAGGTTAACAGTGGGCAGAGTATAGCCTAAATCCCACATAATGCACCACAACGGGTATTATCCCCCAGAACACTTTGCGCATGGTGAAATCTAGTGGCAGGTAGTTCCACAGGTGAACACTATTCAAAGTCATTAGCTCTACGGCAGACAACCAGGCAACAGTGGTAGGAAGTAATAAATCCCCTGTGATGTGTCAGTCTGCCTGGAACAGCCCTCGGCACAACAATGTCACAGGGCCTGGAGTCCCACAGGTTAACAGTGTCCCCAGGTCAGTGCACTTAGCGGAACATGGGGGAGGGAAGCAGAAATTCCCCCACCACGCAATTGTCTCCGGTGAAATAGCTTGGTGGGGTAATATCATGGGGCAGGAGTTCCACAGGTACAGGCGTTTGTCAGTGGGAGAGGCAGATATCACTCATCTCTCTCTCTCTATCTCTGCCTCCGTCAGCCTTTTACACCGCCCGCTATGGCTACAAACTCTGCCTCAAGATTTACCTCAACGGGGACGGCACCGGGGCTGGGACGCACATCTCTCTCTTCTTGGTGCTGATGAGGGGCGAATACGATTTCTGGCTCAACTGGCCTTTCCATCTCAAGGTGAGAGGGGCCTGGGACGCATGGCCTTTCCCCTCTAGGGGGCGCTGGCTCCCATCCAGCCCCAGGGCATGCGCCTGGCTGGACCTCTTAACGACCTTTAATCTTTCAATCTGCTCCCCAGGTCTCCTTGACGCTCCTGGATCAAGTCGGCAAGCGTCACTTCTCGCACGCTTTCCAGCCGTCGCCAACCTCCTCTTCCTTCCAGCGGCCCGTGAGCAAGTACAACATAGCCAGCGGCGTCCCCGAATTCTTCCCCCTGTACCAGCTCCACGCCCCGGGAGCCACCTACATCCACGAGGACACCTTAGCCTTCGAGGCCGTGATCGGCGACACCAACCTCTAGGGTGTGGCAGTTCGCCCTGCGGCCCACAGGACTGGGGCTTGGGCCTCGCTCAGGGTCTAGAGACATAGCAGACAGCTTGGACTCCCAGGTTGGCGTCTTTCAAGATGGCCGCCCGCACTGCCTCTCCCCTGCCAAGCTTTCGCCCAAGGTGGCCTCCCACAACGCATCTCCCCCCACCAAGCCTTTGCCCAAGATGGCCACCCACAGCAGCCGTCCACCACGCCTCTCCCCCCAACCAAGCCTTCACCCAAGATGGCTGCCAACACGTCGCTTCCCCTCCGATGGCTTCATTGAAGAAGCTGGCCATGAAAAATGGAGGCTGACCCTTCTTGGTAACCACCATGGAAGAGGTTTTCAAGACAAGATGACCCTTAAGTCTCTTCCAAGATATTCATGGGTGGCTATATTCTACTTCCTTTGAAAGCTTGGTCCGAGACGGTGGCCACACCTCAGAGACCAGCTGCACTGACATTCCTGGGGGCCCTGTTCCCCAGCTCTTATTTTCGTAGACCCTACACAAAGTCATACTGAACACGACCTCAGGAGCAATGTGCCAAGCAGCTCTGGGCTTTTTCAGGAGTCCGATGATCCCGCTGGGACGGGGAACAGGATGGCCAGAAACGGGGCATTTTTGTATTCAATACCCCAAAGCAGATTGGTATATTTAAGAGGGAAAATATTTGTAACTAAATTAAACTCTTATTTATTTAGTTGATATTAAATCTATTTATGGATCGCAGCAGCTGCTCTCCAGGGTTGGCATTTTGCGCTGCCCCCTTTCCCCCCCACCCACCCAAAAATAAACTTAAAGTGGGTCTAGTGGAGAGAATTGAAATTGAAGTGTGATGTTTCCCCTCTAGGGGATGCTGGCTGCTGGGTGGGAGTGGGGAACTGGCTGGCTCAGGGGGTAGGCAATGGGGTATGGGTGCCCCCTAATTGAGACATAACTCAGAGGGAGCTAAATTGGTTCAATTCTTTATTGTGTCAAGGATCTCAGAGGCAGTGAGAAGCCAAACACCCCCTCCCTCTGGATCAACACCCTGGCTCTGCCCTAGGGGGCGCTCCTACTCCACATCACAGGGGGCTCCTAGAAGCCCCCCTAACTACTCTAACACACACACACAAGGCACCCCTGTCTTTGGGGGGGCAGTCACCCTTACATAGCTAAAGGTCTGGGATCCCCAGCTGCCCCACAGCAGACCTATCCAGCCTGGTATCCCAGTGCTGCCACCAATTATCAGCCCCAAGGACCCACAGTTGTTACAGCTAACAGGGGAAGGGGTCGTGCTATGGGGGTGTGGCAGTGGGGAGCAAGTTGTGTTTCAAGGGGGTGAGAGGAGTTACCCCCAAAACACCAGCACCATAGATTAGTGGATGAATGGCGGGGGGGCAGCAGGGGGGCTGGAAGATCCTAAGTGAAATGCCCCCCCTAATTCAGGGATCTCAGGTATCGGGGTCCTCCAATGCCCTGGCTTCAATATTGGGGTCCCCATTGTGTGGTATAACATGCTGGTGTCCCCCAAACCTCCCCCCCATGGTGACATGATAAATCAGGGTCCCCAAACCCTCCACTATCCCAGCCGGACATAGCTAGGTTCCCCAAACGGGGATGGGCTCTAAGACCTCCCTCCCCAGGCCACCTACTAAGTATAGATTGGTTGCACCCACTGTTGCCTCTCCCAGAGAAGGAACCAAGGGACCCCAATAATTTGGGGGGCCCCACCCAATGGGCCTTCCACCCTCTCCTGCTAATGGGGTGCCCAGACCCCCTGCTCTCCACCTCCCAAGAAGGCAGGACCCCATTATTTTCAGGGTCCACAACACGTGATGTGGGAGGTTCCAAATATGCCCCCGGGCTGGGTCTCAGGGGAGGCTTCTGGGGGGTTGGGGGACCCCACTTTCCAGGCAGGTGGGGGGGGCAATAGGGGGAAGGGTGATTGCCACTTCCCAGATGGGGGGCAGCAAGTTGAGGGGCGCCCTGAGGTTTGGGGTGCAGGGCATAGGCTGGGTAAGACATGGGGCGCACAGGGAGGATGGGGGGTCAGGGGCTCCCCCATGTAGCTGGGGGGGGGAGCTGGAGGCACTAGCGGTCGAGCTTCTTGTTGATGAGAAGGGAGCAGGAGCTGAGGGCTCCCCCCAGCTTGGCAATCTCGCTGCAGGCGGCGGGGATCAGGGTGAGGTCGGACAGCTTCTGGAACGGCTGCGGGGAGACAGACGGGTCAGAACGGGGGAGCAAGGCATTGTGGGTAAGGAGGAGCCACGTCCATGCCACTCCCTTTGCATTGACAGCCCCACCCACTCCTAGCCCCACCCTCCTACCGCAAACCCCGCCTCTAGATTGCCAAGCCCTGCCCCCATTCACTCCATACCACTGATCCCTGATCCACCACCCACCCACTCCTAGCCCCGCCCTCAGTTCCGCATGCCCCGCCCTCCTACCCCAAACTCCGCCCCCAGGTCTCCAAATTCCAGATCACCCATGTCCCGCCCCATCCATTCCTAGCCCCACCCCCAGTTCCGCATGCCCCGCCCTCCTATCCCAAACTCCGCCCCCAGGTCGCCAAATTCCAGATGGCCCATGCCTCGCCCCATCCACTCCTAGCCCCGCCCCCACCTACTCCTAACTTTGTCCCCAGGACCCAGTCAAATTCCCATGCCCACTCCTACCCCAAACTCCGCCCCCAAATCCCCCTCCCCCACTTACTCCTAGCCCTGCCCCTAGAGCCCCATGCCACGCCTGCACTCACTCCTAGCCACGCCCCCACCCACCTCAAGCCTTGCCCCAGACTCAACTCCCCTCCCCCATGAACCCTACCCAGTCCAACCCCGAGCCCAGCCCAAGAAAGCCCCACCCCTTGCCTCACCCCCTCCCAGCCTGCAGCTGCAAACTCCACCCCCAACCACCACCCCCCCAAAACCCTGCCCCCACCCTTGCTACTGGCCTAAGCCCCTCCCCCATCCAAGCCCCACCCAGGGACCCCAAACCACACCCCATCCACCCCCCACAGGGCCTTAAAGCAGCCCATGAGCCCTCCATTCAACAAAGCCTTTAGCCCCGCCCCCAGCGCCCAAGAGCTCCGCCCCCACCCCACCCCCTCACCTGTAGGCTGTTGGGGAACTCCTCGGGGCTGCGGTGGAGCAGGGCGCTGCCCTTGGGCCCCAGGCGCACGTAGATGCAGTTCCCGGCAGGGTCGTCCGGCACTGTCAGTGTGTCATAGTGGTGATCGGTCAGCTGCTCCATGGTCTGGGGGCGGGGGGAACGGGGGTGAGAGCAGGGCCTGGCGTCCCCCCTCCGCCACACAGTCCTTAGATCAGTGCCCTGAGCCCACCCAGCCCGGTCCCCACCGCTACCACCACCACTCAGACCCCTGGCCCCACCCAGCCTGGTATCCCACTGCCACCACTGCTCCACCCCCTGGACCCACCCAGTCCGGTATCCTACTCTTGCCACCACAGCTCAGCCCCCCTGGACCCACCCAGCCCGGTATCCTACTCCTGCCACCACAGCTCAGCCCCCCTAGGCCCACCCAGACTGCTATCCTAGCGCTGCCACCACTGCTCCGCCCCCTGAACCCACCCAGCCCGGTCATCCTAGCGCTACCACCACAGCTCAGCCCCCTGGGCCCACCCAGTCCGGTATCCTACTGCTGCCACCACAGCTCAGCCCCCCCGGGCCCACCCAGCCCGGTATCCTAGCGCTGCCACTACAGCTCCGCCCCCTGGGCCCACCCAGTCCGGTATCCTACTCCTGCCACCACAGCTCAGCCCTCCCTGGACCCACCCAGCCCGGTATCCTAGCGTTGCCACCACTGCTCCACCCCCTGGACCCACCCAGCCCGGTATCCTACTACTGCCACCACTGCTCCGCCCCCTGGACCCACCCAGCCCAGTATCCTACTCCTGCCACCACAGCTCAGACCCCCCGGGCCCACCCAGCCCGGTATAGGCTCCGTTACCCTCATGGCTTTCTTGGCAGCCTCACTGCTTCCGATGACAACTGTGTCCGGTCCAGCCATGCTACAGAAACTCTTCAGATGGGAGGAGCCCGCCACAGGGACCGTAGAGACAGCAAAATCCTGGCACCCGGGGAAGGGTGAGAAAAAAAAAGAGCCTGGATCCCAGCTCTGCCGGTGCCCCTCACTCCCGACCCGCAGCCCCCTGCCAGCCCAGCCCTGCCCCCCAGCTCTGCCGGTGCCCCTCACTCCCGACCCGCAGCCCTGGGAAAAGGGAGAGTTGCGGGGTGGGAGCCAGGACGCCTGGGTTCTATCCCTGACCCTGCCAAAATTCCAGCTCACCCGAAAAGCATCCGCCACCGCCTCCGCCCCTCGGTGATTGGTCCATTTGGAGATGCCCACAAAGAACTCTCGACCTGTAAGGAGACAGGAAGGGGCAGGACAAGACTCATTAACCCTCGAGATGCTAGGGCCAAATTAGCTCCCGTTCCTTTGGCTTCACTCCGATGCACCCAAGCTGGAGCTGGCCCCTCGCGTGCCCCATCAGAACCACCTCCCTTTGCCCCCTCCCCAACCTCCCAGTGCAGTCGGGAATTGATCAATGCCCTTTAAATGAAGGCAGGAGCGGGGCGGGGCAGGGAGCCAGGACTCCTGGGTTCTATCCCCAGCTCTGGGAAATGAACAAGGACTAGGGGGTTACAGGAAGGCAGTTTGCGCCACACCGCCCCCTGCTGGTTCACACCCAGGGTACACACCATGGCTACTTGCCCTCCCGCCGCCAGGGGTGGGGCACTCACCTGTGAAGAGCACGTCGCTGCCGTCCAAGGTGGCCCCGTCATCCGTCACCTCCACCACCCGCATCTTCAGCTCCTCCAGGACCTTCTTGATGCTACTGATCTGGATCGGGCCCCCCCACCCCCAACAACAGAAATTAACTCTTTCAGGGGATTCCCCTACACTCCCCACATTCCACTGGCCCGTCCCTTAGCAACCCCATGAGACGAACTACCAGACAGATTTCAGGGCCTACACTCAAGGAGAGAGAGATTGGAGGGTTCCAAAATGGCCACCAAAACCCCCTTGCCGGCACCCCCCAGTTGAAACCCTTGTCCTCCCCAACCAACCCTGCCAACATGTGTTCTTTGATCCCATCCAATGGCTCCCAATCTAGGCCTCTGGCACCACTACTACGAGGTAGGCTTCAGCGGCCTACACCCAACACCAATCAGAGATTGTGGGGGTTCAGAAAGTCAACATCCCTTCTTCCACGTCCGACCTACCCCGCCCGTGTGCACCCTCATCCCGTGGCATTCAGCTCGCGCGTCCAGAGTTGCTACTACCAGGCAAGGTTCAGCACCGCGGGCTGGGCTCAGGAGGGTGGGAAATGGGACATTGGGTTTTTCCCCCTCTAGGGGGCGCCTGCTCCCATTTGGCCCCAGGGCAGGGACTGGCTGCTCCGGGGGGCAGGGAATGGGGCAGGGGCCTGTCCCCTCTAGAGGACTTCCACGAGGCCCAGGGAAAATCAGCCCCAGCCGTCCCATGGACTAGAAGCCGCTCCGGCCACTGCCGTGACATTTCGCCAGTTCACTGCCTCGTCCACTGGGATGAGCTAAAGAAAACGTGGCCCTCGAGTCCTCGGCAGCCCATCCAGCCGCTTTGCACGTTATTGCCACTGGGGGGGTGCAACCGCCCCCCACCAACTCGCTCAGCCAGGGCCGGAGGGAACCCAAGAGACGGGGACACAAAGCGGATGGGGGGCGGGGGGGGGAGAACGTGCCGGGAAAGCCCCTGGGTCTGGGCAGTGTTTGGAGAAACCTCCCTGGGGCTTCTCCGAAAATAGACAGAGCTGAGCCAGGGTTTATCCAGCCAGGAATTCAGGGAACAGAGCCCGGGACTGGAGTAGCCAAGAGCTCCCCCAACACCCCCCCCCCGTGTTTCTGGTAAAGGGTCGTTAGCGTGGCTGAGAACAAATTGATAACGAATTATGTTAATGTTGGTCTTCAGCCAACAAGGTCCACACTGATCCCAGCCTAAGAGCTGTTCATCAGAATCAAAATGTAGGGGGCGCCGGCTCCCACCTGGCCCCAGGGCAGGGACTGGCTGGCTCAGGGGGACAGGCAATGGGACACAGGGCCTGTCCCCTCTAGGGGGTGCTGGCTCCCCCCCGGCCCAGGGCAGGGACTGGCTGGCTCAGGGGGGCAGGGACCCGTCCCCTCTAGGGGGCACT